TGCATCTGGTAGGAATGTTGCCTTCCATCTCTTAGCATGTTGTATTTACAGCTACTTTGTTTATTTACAACTCTGATTATAATAAAATGGAAGACATGTGCTAGTACCCAACATTACCCAATGTGGTTTAGTTCCTGAAGGAAACTCTGCAGATGTGGACAAACATACGGTTTAATGTATGATGCATGACCCTACTGTATATAACGCTGCACAAGCCCTCCACTACTGTACATGAAAGTGCATTTCCGTCATCTCCACCTTGATTTATTAACGCAGTTTAGCATCATCTGAATTCTATATTTAATCTTTAAATGAGAGATTCATTATGAAGATGAATGACTTTCGTTTGGATTAACGCATCTTGTTTTCTTTTTACCAGTCCTTCTCGGTTTGTCCTGTGAAGGACTTCCTATATCTTTCATCCTTTGGTACAATCCCCTTGGTGAGTGAAAATGTTCTACCCTCACCTAAGGCTACTGTTGCATTAGCTGGCTGCCTATTTATAGGCGTATAACGTCAAGGTGCAACTCTCCCAAATTATTCTCTCTCCTCTGTGAATGTTACCTCTGTAAGGCAGGACCACAACATTACTTCAAGCTGTATGTGTGTGTGTTTATGTGAATGTGAATCTGTGCCTGTGTGTGAACTGACTATTACATTGTGACGAGTGGGGGTGGGGCCGAGAGCCGTGGGAACGGAGCGAGGCCGGTGGAGTAATTGATAATGAGCGACACCTGCACCACTCACCGGTCTCGAGTCTCACGGAGGAGCTCCGGAAGGATAAAAGGGAGGAGTGACGACAGTGGGACGAGAGAGGACCAGGCCTGGAGTTTATTTTGTGTTTTGTGTGCGGCAGTCGTCCGCGAGGGGCTGCCGCTTTACTTTCATTTTGTGTTGGTTTATTTTATTAAAGTTTTGTTTAAGTGTTCGCCGGTTCCCGCCTCCTTCTTCCCGTGACTATGAACTTTGTTACATACATTTATTATTCATGGCCAGTGTTTGAAAATAACTGATTCAGGAGGTGATGCATGCTGGGGTTTCACTTAGATTACCACAGTTTTTCTCTCTCTCAATCCAGTCCATCAATTTCTCTAAACATACTGGTCTCATGCGACTCTACCTTTTGTCTGACCCCCTAAAGAATGTGTCAATCATCTCTTTTTCCATTTTTAACCTGTGTTCACAGTAAAGGAAGCGTGGTAAATGATTGCTGGGTGTTGTAATGTTTGGACACATTAGTGGAGATTCCTCTGAGGAGATGTAATGAGATATCTGTATGTGTGCGTGCAGTGTCGCAGCGGTGTGAGGGCGATTCGTGTATGTAATGGTCCTTTACTGACCAGGGAATGATCGGATCATTTGCTAAGAGCATTTTTATTTATTGTTTTCTACTCTTTCTCTCACTCTGTAAATGTTCTGCAGCTCAAAGCTGAACTGCCTAACAGTGCAACAGTGCCCATCCACTTTTTCAGCAATATTTTTTCCATAGGGATTTTTAAAAAGTGTTTGTTTAGGAACCAAACAAACAAGCTATGAGGTTAATCCCAACATTAAAAACGTTCATTCGAAGCAAAAAAAAGTAAAATAGGACAAGAAGACAAAGGTATAAGACTGTGTACTTGACGGCTTTAGTTAAAGTAAAATCTACTATCCCATGAAGCATTGCAATTGGCAATCAAATGAAAAACTATTGAGAAATATTAAACTTGTTGATTGTGTACATACTGTAGAAACTGTACATATTACGTTTATTGCCAAATATGCAAATATATGCAAATATTTAAGTAGTTTGAGAGTGTAGGGAGACTGACTCTACGGCATTTGCAGTGTTTCATGGGATTGGGTGGGCACTAATGTGTTCTTTTGCCGTGATTTGCTTGTCATGATTCTCTGATTGGTGTACATTTCTTTTTTTCATGGTATTATTTAAAAAATATAAATAATGCAGGCTGGTGGCTTCAACAAAGGCATATATCATTGATTAACAGCCTCGTAGCTCACAGCAGGTCTGTCATTAAAGGTTTAGAAGATACTGACATAAAATTACAAACCATACATAAAAAATAATAACTAAACATAAGTGGGAAGCAAATAAAGTACATTGTCAGGATTGCAAAACTAACTAAAATAAAATAAAAAAAATGTTCACAAATTAATTAGTATAATGTATTTAATGTATTAGTATAATGTAATTAGTATAATGTATTTAATGTAATTAATAATGTAGTTATTTTTTAGTTTTGATACATTGTATATTATAAAACTGCATTAAACATGAATGCATTAAACATGAAAATACCGCTAGATAACAATAACACTAGACTGAAAAAAGTATACCGGTTAGCACAATAACGTTGGCAGCCCTAAAATACTAAAACTAAACTACAAAATAAATAAAAATAATATAAATGAATAAAAATAAATTAAATTAAAACTAACACATCTAAATTACACTGAAAAAAAAGACAATACAATTAATACATTTAATTAATTACATTTCCCCCATGTTTGCACAATCATTCTGTTTGGTGACTCAAAAATGAGACACTCTAGCTTTAAATTGGTTTCTCAGCACCATGCACATATTTTAATATGAGGGATTTCCTGTGAATATAAAGAGGCTTCCCTCATTCAAACTGCATGAGGCTCTAAGGCAAAGATCTATGAGCAAGCTGTTGTTCGTACATTTGGGAACACACACGTGCACACCATACACTCCAAGCATGTAATTTTCTCTCTTTGTGCCTGTGCATGCTGTTTAGAAAGCCTTAACAGAGCACTGACAAACACAAATGACTCTCCCTTACTTGCCTGTGAGGTAAAATCAAGGAATTACCACAGTGTTCCCAGACCACAGTGAGTGTCAGAGCTCTTATAATCCACACCCAGTGCAGGAAACAGCTGATGCCTTCTATATTACCACAATCTTCCTGCTCTTTCCATCATGAGCCTGTATCATAAATTAAGCGGGTGGAGGCAGGCTGAAATTGAATCAGCCATGATTCCCATAGAGGTGGAGGAAATGTTCAACAAAACGGATGACACTGCATTTGTGGTAAAAACAACACGCACTGCAGGACATCTAAAGCGGTTATGATAACAACTATTTTCATTATGTCTCACATCCATGTACTTTTGTCATACTTTAAGAGGATGTTTTTATGATACGTTATCTCAGACGTGACATATAATCCTGATCTGAGCTGAGCTCTATGCTGGACACTCCTCGTAAATGATCAGTGATTGAATTTCATCTGCATTCCCCCAGCCAATGGATGACTTAGAGTGCACTGTACTCCCATAGATACAGGCACACATTAGAAGCTACACGGGACATACACCAATGAGTTATCTTTGCATTGTGAGCAAGTACAATGAATGATTAAATTAATGTAATTGGATAGATGTAGCATTGTGTGAGATGAAAGGAATATGGCCTTCTTTACATATACAACAATAGCATTCAAAAATTCAGCAAGCACTAAATCACATGCATTTTATGCATGATAATATTCATAAGTTTTAATGTGACAATGACATACATGGTCACTCTGACTCAACGAGCAGAGCTGCTCTTGCACACATTGCATACGACAGCTAACTGCTAACTGGTGCCAACTGTCTGTGATCTGTAACAGCAAAACAACCTCTTCAACCACAGACCAAAACCTTTGCAGCATCAAAACTTATCCCTTTTTTTGCATCCACTGTACATTACACTTACAAAAAAGTTATTTCCCTGCTACTGAAATTAGTATTACACCCAATTTGCCAAACAACATGTTTGCACAGCAGTTTTGCAGTAGGCATAAATATGATCAGTTTAGATCTTTCTGTTACCACTGGAACAATATAATAACAATATCCAGACACTAGGGCTGGGCAGCTTGTCAGTGATCTACGGCTCGGTGTAGTAAATGCCGCTCCATCTGAAAGCACGTGCTGGAGATTTACTACTAATCACCAGAAGCGGCTTTACTGACGAGATGCGCATGAAAATCGCATTCGATTTTTTGCACAGCCCTACCAGACACAAATGTTCTGTTCCAAAACTTAGTGTGGCCATTTTAGTGAGACGCTGTTGTTGCACGATTTTAACCAAAAGCATTGTGGTTAGCTTTCTTGAAGAAGGCAATCCCAGAATGCACTCCATTGAATGTCCAATCTCTAAGATGGCAGACAGAATATTTTACCAAATAAATTTTTTTGTGTGCTATTTTTTAAAGGTGCAATGAAGGTGCTTATTAAGGTGCAATCACATTAGCGAAATTTCACAGGTAAAATGGTCCATTGTCGATTGTAATTAGTATAGCGATATATAAAACACAGCTCACACATAGGTCACTTTCAAACCAAGCAGTTTTCTGTTGGTCAGTGCATCAAATCCCTATTGAAATGACTGGATTTTCTTATTGAAATTACTGTATTTCACCCTGAAAAATGTGTTAAACAATAGTAAATGTGACCTCACCATTATTGTGCTTTTAACTTGCCAACATGCTAATGTAAGAGATTCTAATGTTAAAATAGTCTCTTGTTTGGGACCTGCCTATGAAATTCTGATCACTAAGGAGGTTCCATTCTCAAAAGGTAGCTGTCTTAGTAGTGAACGAAATAGTTACTAGGTTTTGGAACAGAAAAAAGAAGGCTGTATTTAGAGTACTGTACTGTTAGCTTAGCAACATGCTAACATCAAACTCAATAGCTGAATCTCCTGTGCGATACAGCCAATTTAGAGTGTTCCAAATCGATAATTTATGAGATTTTCTAACAGTTAGGATGCTGTCTCAGAAGTGACGAACCTGTAGCTCACTAGGTTTTGGAACAGAGCTACTCTGAAACAACCAAATGTACTGATAAAACAGAACACACACTGAGGTTGAACTGCACCTCATCATTAATAAGTAAGGACTTGTGTTGTTACATGAAAATGGTTATTGGCGAACTGCCAAAAACCCCTGGAGGCCCAGACTGTCACGTTGTGTACCACGGCATCTTACCTTAGCAGCAACTGATGAACCTGGCTTCTCCAAAAGATCCCAAAGTTTCTTCCTCTTGTCTGGGCAGCAGGTGTTATCAAATTCCCCCTCTCCTTCCCTCTCTCTCAGAGTCTCTGCCTCTCTCCTCAGCTCCTCGTTCATCTGCTCTTTCTTCTGATGGTAGCGAGCCTGGCAGCACGACTCCAGGTAGATTTCGTCGATGCCCCAGTAATCAAGCTCTTGTCCAAAAGACAGAGCGCACATTTCCTCCATCATGTGCAGCTTTCCAGTTCTGTAAAAATTCAAGATGGACGTGAACGCGCCAGGGTGTCTGTCAAAGAAGTACTCGTTCTCATTCAGGCAGTAGTCATCGCAGACCTCCATTAGAGACTCGTGGGTGTTACAGTCTCTGAGCTTGCCTAATCTGGTTCTGGGAAGCCGGTCCAAGGTCCGCCATAAGACCTCATGGTTGAGGCCCCCGACGTTGAGACGGACCCTCCTGGACCGGGCCTTGGTCCGGATGATCTCGATAGGCTCGGGCGGAAGCGAAGTCGCAGATCTGCCTCCAGGTTTCGGAACCCCAAGTTCGGCCTTCTCTGCCATTGTGTGCAAGGAGACGGGCCGCTCTTGCCAGGAAGAGGTTTAAAGATGAAAATCAACCAGAAGATAACTGGAAAAAGATGACTATGTTGGGTCCTCCTTAGACGAGTCCCTCCATGGCTGTGAAGAAAGACAGACACTTGTTGTTTCCACCTTGAAATTACATTTTTTTTTCTATGCAGTGGAAAATATTCCAGCTCATAATTATTTAGGAAAAGTCCCTCCTCTGAGAGCCATTAGGAATATGTCAGATTGTTCTGTAAGTGTTTTGCAAAGTACATCTGGAAGCACAACTAAATGCCAGCATTAGAAACGATTTACATATCACCAGCCAAGCGTGCCCTGTATGTAAAGAAGAAACTTAAGCTCTGGTATACTAAACCAAAGCCTAAGCTAAGAGAATAGTGGCACATCTTGTTTAAGCTAAATAGAATTAGTAATTAACACAAGCAATATCTCATTGCCACATTCAATATTCATCATTGGCCTTCTATCATTTCATGGTTACGTTCAAGAGCAGCTTCATAACCTCTTTATTTTATGCACAAATTTAACTAACTTAATCACATTTTCTGACATTAACAGTACTAAAAACTGCAATATTTAATGCTTGTTTTCTACCCGATCCCTTAAAAATTATCATTGATGTAGTCAAGTTGATTCTATCATAGTGAAAAAATGACTAATATTAATCTAAAATATTTTAGATTAAAAGGTTACACATAATTTGTATTTAGTAAAAGAGAGAAAACTGCAAAGATGCAACAGTTCTGTAACCCAAACATTCTCTTTTTCTCCAGTAATCATCCACAAACATTAAACTATCTTATTTTCTTTTAGAAGTCAATATACCAAAGCAATAAAGTAACATAAATCCCCCAAAATATCTTTGTGTGTGGACTTGTGTGTCCATCTGGACCACTGTGTTTCTCACATTAAGAGCTGTCAAACGCATCAGCGTCTATTAAAACCGTTCTACTGTATGCGTTGCATTGCTTTTAACTTTGCAGCCTTGCTATTAAACAATGATCCTGTTCTGAAAAACACATCTCCTTTCACTTCATCTCAGCTGCTCCACTCAAACAAGTGACGTCCAGGCATCACGACTTGCCATAACAATGTTTATGCAACAAACTATATTTCTTACCTTCCTGAAGTAAACCACCGTTTGCATATACAAACCGCTGTGCGCGCAAACGGGAGAAAAGACGCCTGCGGGTTTCCTTTAAGATTCTTAGCTCTCAGCGGAGGCTTCAGTTATGACCGGACATGTGTTCCACATTTTGTTCAACATGAAAGGGGTGAGGAGATCGCACAGAACACCGGGAAATCTCTGTAACTAAAAGAGCTCCCCTTGTCTCGCTAAGAGCGCTGCCTCCATCGATGGCTTGATACTGTGAGTCGGGATGTCTGCAGATGTCAGACGCGTAAAAGCGGAGGGCGCGCGCGCACTGTGTGTGGAGCTGCAGAAGAGCGACACTGAGCGCGTGTGTATGTGTGTCTGTACTGTATGTGTTTGTGTGTTTGTGTGTGTGCGTGTGGACGGAATGGATCGTCTGAAGCACGAGCTGCATCACAGCCTTGAGGTGAAACCTAATTGGATTGGTCTGTACATAAGCAAGGGCAGCAGCAGATCAACTTCAACAGGAATCTCTCGCGCTCTCTCTCTCTCTCTCTCTCTCTCTCTCTCTCTCTCTCTCTCTCTCAAGAGTTCAGTGGTCCACCACAAGTATACAAGGTGTGATATTAGTTTTGCCACATTTAGGCTTAAAATAGACTCATCAAATAACCTTACAGTGGTATTGTAGTTATTATCAAAGTTTATGTTCCATACATTTATGAATATATAGGCGTAGAATAAAAATAATAAATCTATATTGACCACCTGTAAAATGTCTATCCCTTGCTAGTGATCTTATAAAATTATATTACATACAGTTTATAAAAGCAAATTAAAAAGTATATTAAAATAAATAAATATTGACCATACTGTATTGACACTGTGTACTTTTAATGCAATAAACTATATACTGGTTTCTCTAGTTTGCATTTCTCATTAATCAATAAATTCCTATTTACTTCATTATATATATATATATATATATATATATACATTTATTTGTCTAAAATTATACAAATATAAAATGTAATTATTATTACATTTAATGTAATTATAATCATTTATACTATTATTCATAAAGATTATATATGGAGATCGTCTCGGTGTATGTAACCCTCGTTCCCTGAAGGAGGGAACGGAGA